GGATGTCACAACCTTTTGACAGGATGTACCTGACAGATGGCTTGTGCTGATATCTACCTAAACAGGAAGTTGCGGTCACCAGAATATTCTTGAAGGTATCTGATGAAATCTAGGGTTACTATAAGTCAAAGGTTGTGGGTGAAAGGAGGGTGAAAGGAGGGTTAGGGTTACTTACGGTCAATCAAAAGAGAACGGAAGTCACCGGAAGTTGACCATATATGGACATGACGGATGCCCCCCCCCCCCCGAAAAGGGGGCGTGTCACCTGTCACTTGATTGATGCCTACGTATATATTCTCTGGTGTTCCTTCTTTAAGGCCAATAAGTTCTTAATATATATATAATTTTTTTAATGAGTTTACCAGCGTCCCTCTATTTGAGAAGTACTGCTGTACAGTGTGATGATGTCACACAGTAACTACTGAGCTGTGAAATGTTTGAAACTGCTCCACCACCACATCGTACCTTTCTGTCTGTGCCGCTGGTGATTATCTGGTATTCCTCTGGATGATAGCACACGGTCTGGAAATGTGTGTTGGCGACTATCATCCTAAGGCTCACAAATTGCCTGAACATGGAGAAGAGGGAGAATTGAATGATTAGAAAAATAATAATAATAATAATTAGAAGATAGGACAGTAAATTTCACAAAAGTGTGTGTTTCAGGAATTTTGCAACAAAATAAACTGATAAATCCAATATCTTAATGTGTCCAAAAAGAAACTCCATTAAAGTATCAACAAAACACAAAAGAACTTAAACAAGCAAAGGAAGTTAAAAATATATATTATTATTTCTTTTTTACTTCATCTGTGCTTTTTTCTGTTTTATGAYATAAAACATAAAATTTAAAGGAAGAACATTGAAGCATGTGTGCATGTGTCCAGTGCCGGTGTGTGTTACGGTCTGCAGGGGGAATCACTCACACTAAGTCCCAGATGACGCAGGTCCCGTCACTGCTGGCTGTCACACACTGCTTGTCGTCACTCTTGATTTTGATGCACGAGACGGTGGCTTTGTGCACCTTCATGATCTGCAGCAGACGATGGCCGTGAGGCAGCAGCTGCCAAACGTGCACCTGCAAACAGGAAGCACAAACTCCCTCACCCTCACAGGAAAGCRTCGCGTTAGGCCTCACATGTTACAGTGATGAATCTGTTGAGAGTAGGCAGAGTATCCACATCTGGATCATACAACCCCACTTTCAMTGAAGTCGGGAAGTTGYGTAAAACGCAAATAAAAAYGGAYGATTTTCAWATCCTTTTTTAACTGCAGTCAATTKAATACACKACAGAATACAAGATATTTAATGTTCATTACAAATACTACTGTTTTTTTCCCCAAATATTCTTTTCTTTTGAATTTGATGCCTGCAACACATTGCAACAAAAACAACAAAAGACTGGGAACGTTGAGGAATGCTCAAAAAACACCTGTTTGGAGCATTCCWCAGGTGATCAGGTGAGTGTCATGATTGGGCRTAAAGGAAGCATCCCTAAAAGGCTCAGYCGTTCACWAGCAAAGATGTAAATATAATGAATTATGGATTTACAAGCAGCTGGAAATGAACAACTCAGTAAACTRCAGCTGCTTGTCAGAAAGGAACATTAAAATTTAAAGAATGTATTCAGGGTGTATCTAATGGATTCCTAAAATCTGTGTCACCACATCRCAGAGGATCCACGTCTACAGGCAGATATAAGATAAGTGTGTAGCTGGGACAGTTGCACACGCATGAAAATAAACAAATCACCAATAATCAAATTGTCTCATTACACATACTGTATTCTTTGATTTGATTTGATTT